AGGCACTCTAATCCACTGAGCAATTCAGCTGACACTGATTTATGGGTTTTGATGTATATTTCCTTAGTGACTTACTGATTTTGAGTTTTTTATGTTTATTAGCCATTTAAATGTTTCCTTTGGGGGCAAAAAGTTTCTTTTGGAGAAATATTTGTTGAAATCTTTGCATATTTTAAAATTGGATTTTTTTTTTTGAGATTTAGGATCTTATCACTATATAGTGATAAGGCTAACTTTGAACTCAGTATGTAGTCCATGCTGGCCTCAAATTCTCTGCAATCCTCCTGCCTCTGCCTCCTGAATGCTAGGATTACAGGCCTATGCCAGCACACCCATCATTTTTTGTTGTTGTGTTTTTGTTTTTGAGACAAAGTCTTGCTGTGTAGTTCAGGACATCATGGAACTCATTATACAACCCAGGCTGACCTTGAACCTGTGAGATTCTTGCTGCCTCAGCCTCCTGAGCTCTGGGATTCCAGGCATGGTCCACCATGCCTGGCTGCTTGTACTTTTTTTTTTTAAATAAGCCTTTCATTTTTATTTTCCCTGAGTACTAGAGTTTGAACCCAGGACCTCATGAATATTAAACAAATGCTTCAGCTAATTGCAATTTTTGATAAATATTGCAATAATCTGTACACCATTTTAGGGAGCGTAGCCATGTTAGCAATAGTGTCTCTGTTCACAAACATGGCTTTTAAGAAAACTATGTTTTATAGATTTCAACATATAAGTCTTGCATTTTCTTTTTTTTTTTTTTTTCCTTGCGAAACCAGGGATTGAACCTGGTCTCTTGCGCTTGCCAGGGAAACGCGTATTCTACTGAGCCATCTCCCCGGCCCAAGTCTTGCATTTTCGTTAAACCATCTCCGGATAGGTCCTTTTTGATGTTTTTGTGAATGGGATTGCTTTTTAAATTTCATTTTCTTATAAAAAAAAAAAAAAAATTAAAAAAAGGGCTGGTGAGATGGCTCAGTGGTCTAAAGCGCCTACTTAGAACAAGCTTAGCAAAGCAAAGGGACCACGGTTCAATCCCCAGCACCACATGCCAGCCAGCCCCGCCCCCTGGTGGGCTGAACTGGCCACACACACATAAAATAAATAAAAAATAAATAAATAAATAAATTTCATTTTCTTGTAGCGTATAGAGATCCAAGTGATGCTATATCTTACAATTTTTTTAACAGTTTATTCTAGTAGTTTTCTTAGTAAACCACTTTGATTTTTTTTCCCATAATTTTATTGAGAAACAAATAGCAATGAGACAGTTTCAAACCAAATTGGTAGGACAGTTTCAATAATCAACACACTGCATACATTCTTCCTAGTGGTTAATTGCTGTACAAGATGTAGACATGATATCCTATTTACAAACATTAGAACAAATCCCTCTGTTCATTAAGAGAATGTAACTATCTTTTTTTTTTTTAATTTTATTTATGTGTGTGTGTGTGTGTGTGTGTGTGTGGCCAGCTCAGCCCACCAGGGGGTGGGGCTAGCTGGCATGTGGTGCTGGGGATTGAACCGTGAACCCTTTGCTTTGCTAAGCTTGTTCTAAGTAGGTGCTTTAGACCACTGAGCCATCTCACCAGCCCAGAATGTAACTATCCTAACCACTTTGAATACACAGATACAAAATGGACATTCATCAGTATCCCCTTTTTTTTGTTTAGTTCTGTTATTTGAATATTATAGGTGTGTTAACTCAGCAGAATATTCTAAAGGAGTCTAATAGTCCATAATAGTATTGAGTCTTCCGCTTCACTGGCAACGTCAGAAATTGTTGACCTGATTCCCCTACAGCTCAACATAACACCATGGCTTTACTTCTTATACTTCGTTTTTATACTTTTCTGCTGGATGGTTAAGACCAAGGTAAAGCAAGACCTATGCAGCTTTTGGGTCTGATAAGGTCAGTGAAATCCCCTCAAGATTTATCCTGAGATCCTGTACCTCAGATTGTAGAACCTTTGTCAGTGTCAGCCACGTGGATGAGTCACGGCCATTGCTTGGCCAGTGTGCTCTCTGTGAAAGCCTGAGAGAATGTTTTCTCTCCATGTGACTCTCCTTAGGTACACTCTACATCATCGATCACTTTCCTCTGCCACTTTGATTTTTCTACAAACAAGTTTATATTGTCATTACCTTGTCACTTTTATTCTGTTCCCCATTTTTGCAGATTTTTTGTTGCTGGTGTTTTGGTTCTGGGAATTGAACTCACTACCCTGCTCTTGCTAGGTAGGCGCTATACTGCTGAGCTGTATCCCTGACCCTGCTGCTTATTTTAATAATCTACAAAAACTATTGGAATTTAAAATGTAGGTTAGCGAGAAACTTTTCTTTTGTATTAAGAATTGAACTGAGGCCTCACTGTTGCCAGGTAGGCTCTGTGTCTCTGAGCTACATCCCCAACCTTGGAAACTATTTTTGTACCTTGTCAGGTAGATAAATAGCTCACTTACTTTTTCCCTCTGGTTCCTGTATATCAGATAATCCTAGCATGGAGAGTAAGCATAGGCAAGCTGGGGAGGTAGCTCTGTGGTAGAGTGCTTCCCTAGAGCTCTCAAGGTCCTGGTTTGTCCCGAGCTCTGGAAAAAAAAGAAAACAAAGTACTGGACTCCAAGGTGTGTTTAAGCTTTATTAGAATAAGTACAACTTTAAGAGTTAAATATGCTTACTCTTTCTAACCTTAAATTTCTAGTTGGTTTTTGCCAGAGAACTCCAACATAATTTAAGGTCCTTAGGCAGAAGTAACAGATTATGCTGTAGTAGTACATGACACAGTTAGTAGTGTGATATGAAATGACTTTACATATCCATCCATCTATCCCCTCCCCCAGTATGGAAAGTTGAATACAGGGCCTTTGCACTAAGTTATATTCCCAGTCCTCTTTATTTTTGATTTTGAGACAGGGTCTTGCTAACATGCTCAGGTGGATTCAAATCTGCAATCCTTCTGCCTTAGGCAGGCTGATAAGCATGCACAGCCATGGCTGGCTGCCTTCCATATCTTGTGTGGAAAAGTCCGAGGAGTAATGAAATACTGAAATACGTGGCAAGGTCTTGGTGTTCTTTGTGTATTAAATTCAGTCTGTCAGGTATTTGACATGAGCAAATACAGTCTGCGTGGTGGGTGTGTAGGAAGGAAAGGCTGAATCAGAAGTGGAGAAATCCAGTTAGGTTCTTCTGGTTTGGACAAGAGGTAACTGGTTCTATACCCAGGTGGGAAATTACCGAACTTTTCTTTTTGGTGGCACTGAAGGTTGATGACAGGGCTCATGCATGCCAGGAAAGTTCTCTGCAACTGAGCCACAGCCTTTGCCCATTACTTAAGTCTTGATTTCTATTTCCACCTCTGGAAAAGAGAGGCGATGTAGCTGGATGGTGGTTCGAGGCCTACTCAGAGCCCGAGCCCAGCAGTCAGTGTTTCTCTCTGTTTCATCTCATGTTTGTACCACAGCTGATCTGGAGTCTAAAATAGGGGTTTTCCTTTTCCCGCACTTGGATTGCTTTGAAATACATTATATGTGAATGTGTGGCTTTGGCTTTGTTTCTGATTTTTCGTTCTGTGGAGAAGACCCCTTATGGAGAAGGCTAAATTGCCCCCACCCCACTTCAGGTGACTGATTCTCATTGCTGACTTGCTTTAAAGATTGAAAAGTAACCCTTTCAGGCTTCTGTTATTTTATAAATGATGAAATAGAATGGTGGCTATGACAATGACAAGAATAAGAGAATATGCCATAGCTTCTGCTTTAGTTTTTTCTTTTTCTTTTGTTTTGGCAGCTGTGCTGGGGTTGAAGCCAAGCTGTGGGCTTGCCAGGCCAGTGCGCTGCTAGCCACTGTCTCCCCAGTCTTGTCACTGCATTTGGCTAGATTGGGTACATTAGTCACCACCCTCGAAGTATAGTCTTGTGAAACTAAAAGACCCTCATCATCCTCATGTAGCAACTAAAGACACAGTTTAGATGAATGAAATGAGATGTTCGTGTTTATCATTTTAGGAAGCAGAGGAGTCTGGGACTGAGGCATAGCTGGCATGAGCCCCCCCAACCCAGCTGTTGGTACTGGGTAGGACAGGCTCTCCACAGACTCCAGTGTTTGTTTCATCTCCAGAATGGAACAATTACCTAGTGTGAAAGATGAATAGAAGCTAATAAGAGCTAAAATTGGAAGTCTGTATTACTTCTTAAGTTAGTAACTTCAGAAAAATTTTTTGTGTATGGTTTTAATTATAATTATGTGGCCACACAGTTGTGGTAGACAACTGTGGGGGGTTAAACTGATGAACTCATTGGTGAAGGAATCGAGTTAACCAGCGACACTAATTCGGTAGTCACTGCCGTTGACACATACAGTCCAGTGTCCCCTTGGCTTGCGTACTTTGTGGTACTGCTGCAGAAAACGCCATGAGGACCCATGTCTGCCCCTTGCGTTAATGGTGGCCAGTTCATTTTGTTCTGTATCCTGTCCTGTCCTCCCATCACTCATTTTTTAAACTCATGGGTGCTTTCAAACTTGGCTTCACTGTATTACTCTTGGGCTGCACACTTGCTTGTTTGTGTGGGTCAAACCGCCTGTTTGGAGCAATCGCTTCGGATACCTTTGGTCTCTGTGGCTGTGGTTCCTATACGTTCTTTACATTCGGGTCTCTTCATGCTTTCGTATTCCCTATAACTCGACGTTAATCATCAGTAAGCTGGGCTTTGGAAGTGGCTCTTGGCGAGTGAGTGACTGTGAAGCCTTAATACTCTCTTTTGTCTTCACGACTCTGAGAGATTTGGGAAAGCTCTGAATTAACCTCACTGCCTTTTTTCTTTTGGCTTTTGCGGAAATGTCAGATAGTGGCTGTGGCATTCTTCCCCGTCCTGGGGAAGAGCTCTGAGAAGTACGAGAAAGATTGTCTCAGGAAATTCTGTTTCCTTAAGTAATAATATTTGTAGAGTAAGTATTCATCGTTGTGTGTTCCTGTTGGTTCACTGTGCTTTCTCTCCCTTTAGCCCCCCAGGTTCGCCTAATAGTCTTGGCTACTTCCCTACAGCTGCCAGTCTTAGCAGTGTCCCTCCACAGCCCGGCACGGTGGTCAGGATGCAGGGCTTGGCCTACAATACTGGAGTTAAGGAAATTCTTAACTTCTTCCAAGGTTACCAGGTCAGTACCTTGAAGAAGAAACACCCTCCGCGCCCTTATTATTTAACTCGATTTCCGTAAAGAGCACGGCCAGCAGAGGTGCGGATTCTCCGGAGCACACATGTGTACATGTACTAATAGACTGGCTTGCACAGGCCGGTAGAGCTAGAGTTGGGGTTGAGGCAGCAGACTTCAGATTCATCCTCTTGACAAGGGCTTTTCCTTGCTGATCCATCTTGTTCTGTTTAATCTGTTGCTACTTGTTCTGAAACCTGTGAACTTTAAACTCTTGAGACACCCTGCAGCACAGCACAGGGGTTCACATTAAGAATAGGGATGCACTTTCCTGAAAGTCAGGTGCAAAAACATTGTTTTTTTGTTAAGCACATGGGCTGGGAGTGTAGTTCCCAGCTGGTCCCCAGGGCGCACACACGTGCGTGCGCGCGCACACACAAACACACACACACACACCCTTGTCACTGGCCTCTGCCTAACTTGAGTAAAGGAAAAAAAAAAATCCCAACAGAAGCATTGCTTAGCAGAGACCCATTGGGTCATGAAGTGTGATGCTATTCTCATGAGGCTGACATTGCTCTTGACACGTTCTTCTACCACTGCCTGTGCCATCAGCTGTTTTCTGACTGCCCCTGAAGAGTGAGTTGTTAGGGCCAGGGAGATGGCTCTGTAGAATAAGCATTTGCCTGGCAAGCACAAGGGCCTGAGTTCAATCCCTGGTTCTGCCCACCCCCCCAAAAAAAGAAGAGTGAGTTGTTTTAGTATGTGCTCGGTAGCAGCAAATAAAATCTACTCATTGCCCACTTATCTGAACACACGGAAGTCAGGTAGTGATCTAAAGTCTGAAATCTCCATTTCCTGCTATGCCAAGGATCAGTAACTTGAAGGCTTCATATGCTGTACTAGGGAAAATTGTCCTTTTCTTCAGCTGACCCTCATTGGAGTCCTCAGGGTGGGGAAGGCAGGGGAATGAGGCCCTCAAGTAGCCACTGCACATCTGCAGCACAGGCTGCTGGGACCTTGTCTAGTCATGCTGCTGCACTGGGGGATGGGTTTTGAGTTCGGCAGGCATAGGCCACAGAGGACTGTGACCCTAGCTAACGCACCTCTGATGCTGCCGCATGTCCCAGACCTACCCATTCTCCTGAAGGTCTCTAGGCCTTTTAACAGGCAAAGGATAGTTCGCAACAAAAGAAGACATGGGGAAAAACTACAAGAGGGTGAACCAAAGTTCGCTTTTGTTACTGATAGGCTTAGCACATCTTTCCCTAGAAGTAAAATTCTTACTGTAAAAATGTTTGTTTCAGGGGTCAGTAGATTTTTTACTGTTTTGTGCAAAATTACACTGCCTTAGGAGGACCTCCAAAGGGGCAAAAAAGTTACCTTGCAAACTTCCTGCCTGACTCGTTAGTTCATAAAACTTTACTGGAAATATATTTAAAAGGTTGCTTAATCTCAGTTTGACTTTTATGTTTAATTTTTTCCTTGTAGAAAGTCCAAGGGAATGGTGGCCTGCCCCTTAACTCAGTTCTTTAAGAGGCTGCTCCAACAAAGCAGTCAGGCTCAGGTTGCTGTGGTTTGATCCCCACAACTCAAGCCAGCCAAACCTGCCCTGAAGGCATTTGGAGCAAAAGTAAAATAAAGTCCAAGGGAAGTTTGAAATTCAAGGATCAGCCAAGTTAGTTTCTCTTTAGCCTTAATTAACCTATATTCACCCTAAATAAAATTAAGCAGTTCTATACATAATCCATTTAATAATTGTGAGGAGAACACAGTTGCTCTCACGAAGAATGTGGTAGCCAGCATTTGGAGTATTTTACCACAGACATATATTAGGGATTATTTCTGGACACGTGACTAAGAAACTGACGAGCTTTGAAAGGCAGATGACATCCATCTGTAGTGTTCTTTTTAATAGTTTAGTGTCATTTGATGTTGGAGTAGAGTTACATGGTTTACTCAGAAAAACTGGAAAAATACTTGGCTTTTCTTTTTCTTTTTTTTTTTTTTTTTTTTTTTGGAGTGGGGGCACAGGTCTCACTAGTAGTCCAGGATGTAGTCCAGGATGACCTTGAATTCCGCGTGATCCTCCTACCTCAGCCTCAAAAGTGCTGGGGTTACAGATGTGTACTGCACCTGTTTTGGTCTTCATTTTTGAAATGTTTAGAATTCATAAACTGGATCCATGAACTAAGAAACTCAGTTATCCAAGGGGCCAGGGAGATAGCTCAGTAGAATAAGCACTTGCCTGGTTAGCGCAAGGGCCTGAGTTCAATCCCTGGTTCCACCAAAAAAAAAAAAAAAAAAACCACAAAAAACCTCAATTATCCAGGCCCAAATGTATTCCAGTATTTGCCTTCAGTAATTTGAGCTATGAGGCATATATTCAAAACTGTCATGCCTAGCCCAGTTTTATGTCATTCTTACACCGAAGCTCCCATTTTCCGTTACCTTTCAGAGTCCACACTTTGGTACTATTTTCTATTCTTGATTGTTCTAGTAATAGCCAGTCATTGTGGACTTCCAGATTTGTTGGCTTTGGATTTGTCACAAGATGGTAAAATCAGTAGATGACTTCTTAAAAAGAAAACTGTGCTAATGTAGTGGGAAGTTGCAATTTTATTTCTGATTATTCATAGTATAATTATATACTTAAGCAGCTATCCAGAAAATGATAACCTGAGTAGGTGAATTTTGTTGTCTGGTTATTGTCTCTTAAAAAGAATGTAGAACTTGGTAATATTACCTCATTTCATGAATTCGTTGTCTTTAAATACATTTTGTCGTGGATTTTCTCTTTACCTTCAGCACAATTTCTTCTGTAAAACTGCTCCAAATTTGTGTTTTTCTGTAAATCATAAGGGATTGGGGGAGCAAAGATTTGGAAAAATGGAAGCCAGGCAGTAGGAGGATTGTCATGAGTTTGAGGCCAGCCTGGGCTCCACGGTGAGACCCTGTCTCAAAAACAAAACAACACAACAAAAAATTTAGAGAATGGGAGAAATTTTGATAGCTAAGGCTGGATGTGGACCAGAAGTTCTGTTAGCAGATTTGCCCTCTAGCAATGTTAAGGTGCCTGCGTTAGGTCTATTTTAACAAAAGGAATTGGTAGAATTTGTGAAGATAAACTGCCTTCAGGATATTTGGTAATGCTGCTATCATTCTGTTCAATAAAATAAATGTATACCTATTTTTGTTGATGAATATTTTCTTTGAAATGGATTTTGAGGAATCCCTATACAATTCCTTCAACTTTTTTCGTTTGTTCTTTGGGTTGTACTTTATTGTCAGTGCTTTTACATTTTCAGTAAACGTTGGTTTTGTTTCTCAAAGTACTGATTTTAGTCATCTCCTTGGACAACTCACTCTGGAGTTTTACTTGGTATTAGACTGGAAGAATTAGATTCCAGACGTATCTAACACTATTCAAAACGCTGGGCTGTTGGAAGATACTGAGTAGATGTGCTTCACTATAAATCGCTCGCAAGTAATTGGTGCTCATGTGCATGGGACCCAGTCCTGCCCACAGTGTCATTCAAACTGTGCTATTCATGCGATCTGAAGATTTGGGTTCCAAATTATGTGGGCTGGTGTTTTTGAGGTTTTTTACTGTTTCTGAGTTTGTTTTAGTTTTTTCTCTTAATCCACATGTTCAATCTAACTTCATAGAAGGGATGTTGATCATACCTTTATGTTGAATAAGAAATGAACATTTCCTGTTAGTTACATATATGGTTTATATCGGCGCTTTGTTTCCTACATTCTAAGATAGCATTTTCTTTTGTGGATAGCTGTTTTAAGTTGAAATACTAACCATCCACAGTGAAAACTTGTCCATCTTTTGATCCTGTTTGTTTCAACTTGCATTTTAGTATGCAACCGAGGATGGACTTGTTCACACAAATGACCAGGCCAGGACTCTACCCAAAGAATGGGTTTGTATTTAAGGGCCCCAGCAGTTAGACCATCCTCAGAAGAGAAGGTAAGGCTCTGTGATATGCAAGCTAAATTGTAAAGTGCCAAACCAATGGAGAGGCCGAAAATCTACAGGTATTTCAGGAACCAATAAGAGGTTCCCTCTTTTCTTTAATACAATAAGAATGTCAGAAATCTAGAAAGAATGGATATTGGAATTAATTTACCATGTTGACAGATAGAAAGTGAAGCTTGTGGATGAGACCTGGATGTTATTTTGCAGTGAGGAAAAACTTCTTTATGTGGATATGCATTTACTATGTCGCATAGGATACAGGTTAAGTGCTCTGTTTTTAAAAAATTGAGATAAACATCCTATAACAAAAGGTATGGTTCAGCATGGTGGTATGGGCTTAAAGTCCAGAGGCTGAGGCAGGAAGATCACAGGCAAGGCCTGCCTGGGCAAATGAGTGAGCTCCAAAAAGAAAAAAAGCTTTGTTACAAAGTTTTCATTGTGTCTTTTTGCTCCTTAAAAAATGAAAGGAGGGGGTGCAAGGAGATGGCTTAATGGAATAAGCACTTACCTGGCAAGTGCAAGGGTCTGAATTCAATCCCCAGTTCTGCCCTCCCTCAAAAAAAGAAAAAGTATTATTACAAATTATTTTTTTAAAAAATGAAAGAGGTAGAAAACCCTAATAAGGTTAGAATAGTTTTAGTCGTGTCTCCCCTCCCCAACCTCCATTTAAAATGGTAGTTTCTTTCCTAGTCTTCCCAAAAGATGGAATTGTATAGAGTTCTCAGGAATTGATGGGGCTTAGTTCTTGTCCCTGGCCCCCTTTGTGGGACTTGAGATTGAAACCCCAGCCCCTTTTTCATTCATTTTTGAGACAGAGCCTCTTTAAGTTGTCCAAGTTGGCCTCCAATTTGATTCTCCTATATCAACCTGAGTAACGGATTTAGGTGTGAACCACCACACTTGGCTTATTATTGTTCCCCTTCCCTCCTCTCTCCTCTCCTCCTCTCTCCTTTTTTTAAACAGTGGTGGGGATTGAACCCAGGTCTTCCACACTAAGGTACATCAGCAGCCCTTTTTAAAATTTTGAGAGTAGTTCTGTTGCCAGATTGGTTCTAAAATTTGTGATCTCCTGACTCAGCCTCCTAGAATGCAGGGATCACAGGTGTGTGCCACCATGCCTGATTTACTTCATTTTTTTGATTGCAGGTTTTGCTAAAGTTGGATCATCAGCTTGACATTTTCTAATTTTGTTAAGATTTACTTTGAGGGGCTGGAGAGATGGCTCAGTGGTCTAAAGCACCTACTTAGAACAAGCTTGGCAAGGCATCAGGGACCGCGGTTCAATCCCCCAGCACCACATGCCAGCCGGCCCCGCCCCCTGGTGGGCTGAGCTGGCCACACACACACCACACACACTCTCTCTCTCTCTCTCTCAAATAATAAATTAAAAAAAAAAAAAAAAAGATTTACTTTGACTCTCGCTGTGCGGTTCTAAAGGGGGAATGAGGCCCACACATACTCTGTTCTCCAGAGTTAGAATTGTACCTTAGCCTCTCACTCTGGGGTGAAAACCTCAGTTCTGGGTGTTCAGTGAAAATTTCCAGATGTGGCATTTCCAGTAAGGTTTTAGAAGGTCTTGGTATTACCAAGAAATGCCACATAGGGACACTTTGCAAAGGGCCTGGTGATCTCTAGAGTCAGGAGTGTCACAGTAGGGACAGCACATTGTTGTAGCTTGTTGAGATCTGTTTGACCTACAGTGTTAGTTTTTATGTGTTTTTCAAGTTTTATTTTTTTGTTAGTGCATGTTTGCATAGTGGTCACATTCCTCAAGGGAGTTGGTACATGACAGAACACAGCTTGATGCTTTTTACCTCCCTCCTCCCTCTTGTCTCTTGGTTTTCTTTCCATTTGAAGAAGATCTATCTTCCTGTTTTCTATTTTATTTTTCTCTTTAATATATTTACTCTTTGGGTTTCTCATTAGAAAAGCCATGTGGTATTTAAGCTTGTAGGTCTGATTCATTTCATTTAACATTATGGTCTCAAGGTATATCCATTTCCTACAAATGGCTCCAGTTTTTTTTTTTTTTTTTTTTTTTTTTTTTTTTTAATGTATTTTAGGACAGGGCCTTACAGGGTCTCATACCTAGATTGCACTTATAGTGATTCTCCTGTTTTTAGCCTCCCAAGTGCTGGGATTACAGGTATACTGACCACCACACCTGGCTAAGTTTATTTTTCTTTAGAGCAAACTAGTACTCCATTTTTTTTCCTCTTATTTGCTCATCTGTTTATGGAGACATACACTGCTATAAACACGCATGTGTATATCACGCTAATATGATCTCTCGCTTTCGGGGGGAGGGTCCCTAGGAGGGGAATAGTTGGATCAAATGAACAGTATGGAAATCTTCATACTGATCTCCACAGTGGGTGTACTAGTTTGTATTCCTTCCAACAACATAATAGTGTTTCTTTTTCCCCTACATCCTCGCCAGCACTTGTTCTTTGATTTCTTAACGATAGCCCCTCTTTTTGGTGTACAATGGTCAGTGCTTTTTATTTGCATTTCATTAGTGGCCAGCGATATTGAACATTTTTTCATGTATTTGTTGGTCATTTGTACCATTGAAAAGTGTTTATTTCAGTTGCCTGTGTTTTGATTTTTTTTTTAATTTTGATTTATTTTTGTTGTTTTTTAAATTGGGGAGATTGTGTTTGCTTTTGTGTTTTTGAGACAAGGTCTCCTTGTTAGTCCAGGTGACCTTACGCTCACTTACGTGGATCAAGCTGGCCTCGTGCTGGTGCTCTCCCCTGTACCTAAGCCTCCTGGGTACCAGGGCCGCAGGCATGCCTGTGCCACCACACCTATCGGATGGTCTTTTCTTTGGGGAGCTCTGTGTAGTGTGAATATTAGGCAGCTGTCAAGGGCGGGTAGCAACACTTTTTCCCATTCTGTTAGTACTCCTCACCCTTGGTGGTTTTCCTACTGTCCAGATGCTTTAACTTGATATTATCTCATTTGTTGATTCTTAATGCTATTTCTTGCACAATTAGAGTTCTGTTTAGAAAGTCCTTGCCTATGCTGCTATCTTTAGGACTTTTAACTGTTTTACCTTCTATCCGATTGTTTATTGTTTCTTTCTTTTTCTTAGCTCCATTTTAAAGAGTCTTCCTCCTGTGAATGTTTTCGGCCCCTTTGTCAAAGTTCAGATGACTGTTTTTTTTTCCCCCCAGGGATTGAACTCGGGACCTTGGACTTTGCAGGCAGGCACTTATACCAATGAGCTCTCTCCCTGGCCCCCGTCTCACTGTGCAGTTCAGGCTGCCTTTATGCTCACTTTGTAGGCCTGGCTGGTCTTGAATTCGCGGTGATCCTCCTACCCTAGCCTTCCGAGTGCTGGATTACAGGTGTGCGCCACCACGCCCAGCCAGCTGACTGAATATGTTCTGGCGCTGTTGTTTATTCTGCTCAGTTTACCTACATGTCTGTTTTTTGTTTTTGTTTTTTTTTTTTTCCTGGAGGAGCACTTGCCAGGCAAGTGCTTATTCTACTGAGCCATCTCCCTGGACCCCTACATGTAGTTTTTGTGCCAGTTAGTCTGTACTTTGTCTCTCCAAGTGTTTATGAATAGCTGTAAGGATGCTTCACAAGTTGCTGAAAATGCCTAAAGAGCCCTTCTGGCCAGGAAATTGATGTCTGTCCAGAAAAAATGTTGTGTTCCCAGCTCCTCAAGAAATTTTTGTTTTTGTTCTTTCTCTCGCCGTTCCATATTTCCTATTTCTATTCCAAAGGCACTGTTAGATTAAACTTTAATCTGCCAATAGTGCTTGGTTATAGGTGCATTTCACTTATGTACAAGAATGAGAAAGCTTTAAAGGAGATGTTTTCCTGCTTTGTAAATAGACACGGCATCACTGCTACATGTGTGACTTAATGTACTTCTGTGTCAGGATCAGATAGACTAATGAGTATAAACAAGCTTTACAAACTATTGATTTTGTGAATTTACACATGCTAGCCAGGTACCTTCCACCAAGTTACATCCTTAGTCCTAAGTTTTACAAACTACAAAGTTCTCTATAAAAACAAATAGCTTTCTGGGCTGTGGAGATAGCTCAGCAGTCTCAGCACCTGCCTGGCAAGCGTGAGGGCCTGGGTTTGATCCCTGGTACCGCATGCTATGCTGGCCCCACCCCAGGCACACAGTGCTGGCCACTGAAACCGGTCGTGAGGGCCAGCCAAATAGCTCAGCGGATTTAAGCACCTGCAAGCAGGCGCAGGTGCCGGGGGTTCATTCCCTGGACCTTCTGTGCTGGCCCCGCCCCCGAGACACTCTGAGATGGCAGTTGAGACTGGGCGTGGTCGTTCACACCTGTAATCCCAGCACTGGGGAGGCTGAGACAGGAGGAATACTATGAGTCTAAGTTGCATAGCAAGACCTTGTACCAAATAAATAAAAGATTTTTAAAAACAGCTTTCATTGCCATGATTACAGTAATCATTGAAGTCACTATTTTCTTTATTTCTGGGTTGCAGGAAATTTCAGACTTCATAGTTTTCCTATTAGCATTCTTTTTGTTCTAAAATCCAGCCTGGAATTCTCTGTACTTTGTCGTCCTATAGCTCGGTCTGCCCTTATTTGCTATTAGCTGGCCACTTTTGAGGGCTATTGCTTTGGGTGCGAATTGTCCTACTCAGCAAGCAGGATCCTGGCCTAGGTGACAATGGTGATGTCAGCCTGGGTCTTGGGCTGAGGGCTGAGGTCATGCTGTCTGGTTCTCTCTGTTACAGACTTGCTGGTTTTTCTCTCATGCTCCATTTTTTTTTTTTTTTTTTTTTTTTTTTACAAGAGTCATTATACAGCCCACATCCCAGGTAGAGAGGATTTATTTATAAATATTAGAAATTGTTGTACAAGGATGATTTGTCCTCCTTCCCCTGGTTTTTGTTATTGTGTTGTGTTGTTTCTTGTTAGTATTAGGAATTGAACTCAGGGCCTTGTGCATGCTAGATGAGCACGCTACCACTAAGCTACACTCCCCAGCATTCCTGTTACTTAGTTAAACATCTGTGTATCTATGTGTATATGTATGCAGTTACCTGCTTTCTTCTGCGTCAGTATGGAGCTGCACATATTTATTTGGTACTTTCGTTCAGAATCCAGCACTGCATGCCTTTTTGCTCCAATTGTTCATCACGACCATTGGGCACTCAGGCAGGTTGCCTCCTTTATTCCTGTAACATGTTCCTGTCCTTTGGGGCTTTTAAAGCTTTTCCTTTCGAGGCCTTCAAGTATGACTTATCCAGCTCCTGGTTTCTCAGTCTGTTCCTTTACTGGAGGTTTTACGTACCTTAGCAGTGTTTCCTTTGCCTTGGCTTTGTCTTCAATCAACAGGGTTTAGATTACATAAGCTTTCCATGCCTAGAGAACTTGCCACTGAGAAATTTCCTCCAGAAGAAACAATACTGAGGACATAGTGGTGCATGCCTGTAATACTAGGGGGCCAAGGCAGGAGGGTCACTGTGTGTTTGAGGCCCTCTTAGGCTACAGAGTGAGACCCCATCCCAAAGAAGAAAAAAAAGGAAAGTAACAGTACTCTGCAACAATACTTTAGCCTTTACCTCTGTCTTGAGACTAAGCCATTAGTTGCAACGATGTGTACATTGAACCATGTTGTAATTTTGTTTTAAGAGGTGGTGGAGAATTAAAACCCTTTTTGCGGGGCTGGTGAGATGGCTCAGTGGTCTAAAGCACCTACTTAGAACAAGCTTAGCAAAGCACAGGGACTGCGGTTCAATCCCCCAGCACCACATGCCAGCCAGCCCCGCCCTCTGGTGGGCTGAGCTGGCCACACACACACACACACACACACACACACAAATAAAGAACATGAACTTTGGGCTTTAATGTATGGGGAAAGCATCTTTTTTTTTTTTTTTTTTTTACTTAAACTCACAATTTTCAGAAAAGCACATGAAAATTACCATAAGAAAATGAAATAATACAACTAGCTAGAACTGCAGGATTTTTAAGTGTTCATTCCAAAAAGCAGTTTCTATTGGCAAAATCCAGACGTCTAAGAAGAGTCCTCCTATGTATGTATTTTTAATGATAGTTTATTACAGTATAATATATATTTACAGTTAAAACTTTCAAAAGTGCTTTACATCATGTCTTGCTTTACTGTAGCTAAAGAGGAAACATTTTCTCCATGTCAGTCATATATGTGTATGTGTACATGTGTTACATTTAGCTATCAGTTAGGCGTTTCCAGTTTCATCACTAAACACTGAAACTCCACTGAGTACCACTGGGATTAAAAAGAAGACCCAAGGGGGGCCAGGGAGATAGCTCACTAGAATAAGTACCTGCCTGGCAAGCGCAAAGTCCCGAGTTCAATCCCCCATACCACCAAAAAAATAAGACCCAAGAGGCTAAGCTTTTAACAGCTTCTGGGTTTTCCCACGGTGTTACATAGCATGGGGGAGGGTTTTTCAACCTCTCCGAAGGTGATGTTTCCTAGTGTCATGTGAGGGTTCAGGGATGCAGAAGGTGACCTGCATTGCTGCTGCTGGCTAACAGGCCCAGGGCTGGCTCCAGGGGCCCGCTCTCACCAAGATGGACCTGTCTGAGTAGGAAAGGAAGCCAGGAAGGGCCATGTGCTGATACGGCCTGGGGGCATCTCAGACACCACCCCACTAGCACCTCACCCCAGTGGCCCAGACTGCAAGGTACAGATAGCTATGCCTGATTGTTGCTTGGGCTCAGTAGTAAAAATTGCCTCTCTGGGGTTGCCACTTGGGTGAGAGAACAGTTCTTAATTCTACACTGTTAACAAAGGAAAGGTAAACTTGGTTCATAGTGTCGAGTAGCTGATAGATTATCTTATATGCATCTATCTTAGGAGAAGCCAGTGAGGACAGTGTCTTAAACTGAGGGCTAAATTGTAGTTTCTTTACAAACTTCATTTAAACATGAGTTCTAACAACTTAACCAGTATCTTAATACTAAAAACCTAATTTTACATTTGTACCAATTGTAGAGTCTGTTACTAAATCTGCTTTTAATAACAGACCATGCTTCAAAGTTGGCCATGGAAAATAAGACCACACTGTGGAGAGCTGTTATGTTTCTTTGTCCCTTTTGCTCCTGTACATGTGTGCATAACACCTAAAGTTGTTAAGGTTTTTGTATGGTATGAAGCCAGAACAGCCCAGGGGACCTCTCCATAGTGATTCCGACCTTAGATCTGCCTGTTGGTTTCCCTCAATAGCTGGAAAGAATTGGCTGCAGGACCCTGGGTCCCAAAGCTCACAGGCATTTGCGTCCTTACACGCAATGGTGTGTGTGTGGTAACCTGTACGTGCCCTCCCTCATACTCCAAATCATCCGTATACTCCTGGTAGTATAAGACAGTGTAAGTGCTGGCTAAGTAGTTGTTACAATGTATTTTAGGCAACAGAACAAGTGGAAGCATCTGTACCTGTTCAACATTGATGTTTTTATTCCTGGATAGTATTTATCAGCAGCTACTGAATCCACAGACCTAGAAACCACACACAGGGGGCTGGCTGTCCTACTTTAATGACCTGTGCCGCTTTTCTGCAGGTGTGCACTGGGGGTGAGCTGCTAATCTCACGGGTTGTGTGTAGAGATGGAGCAAGCTGACCACAGGGAGGTGCTTATGAGCTTCTGTTTGGCATTAGCTATGCTATGCTTTGGTGCTTCTGCTGATATAAAAAAAAATTTTTTTTCATTGGATATAGGGTCTCACCACACAGCTTATACTTTTGATCGTCCTGTCTCAGCCTCCCCAGGGATGGGATTACAGGCGTGTGCCACCACACCCAGTTTTGGGACCAGGATTCCAGGGCCAGCATGGCATGCAGTACTGGGGATTGAACCCTGGTCCCTGCATTTGACTGGGCGGTGCTTAGTCTGCTGAGCTATCTCCCCAGTCCTTATATTTTAAAATGTTTTTGTTACAAATTATTTTTAGGGGGCCAGGGAGATGGCTCAGTAGAATAAGCACTTTCCTGGCAAGCGCAAGGGCCTGAGTTCAATCCCTGGTTCTGCCAAAAAAATAAATAATAAGAAAAGAAATTATTTTTAAAGTTCTTCCAGCCAGGCATGGTGGTGTGTACACCTGTAATTCCAGCCCTTGGGAGGCTAAGGCAGGGTTGCTGTGAGTTGGAAGCCAGCCTAGGCTACAAAGTGAGCTCAAGCCTAGCCTGAGCTGCAGAGGGGGAGCCTGTCTCAAAAAGGAGAAACAAAGTTCTTCAACTAGATTTTAATTTTGAATAGTTGTTTTAATTGTGTCTAACATGTTGATGTTTGTACTGAATTTCTAATAGCAGAAGATTGTGACCACCTGGGAATGCAGCCTTAGGAAGTGGGCAGTGGGAGCAGGGTGGGGAGAGGAAGCCCTGTGGTGAGCAGCGGGGCACCCCAAAGGCCTGTCCCAGGCGTCCTTGCCCGCCTCTACTCGGGCAATTGCTGTGTAAATATCCACTATGTCTGGGTGAAATGAAAACATATACTTTTTTTTATGGTTTAGACCTTGAGGCTGCTAAAAATTAAATGTAGAGACTGTAACTTTTTTTTTTTTTTTTTTTTTTCATTTTTCCCCAGTGTTTGAAAGACGTATGGTGATTCTGAAGCCATCCGACAAGAAAACTAGTGACTTCAGGGGAAGTTTGTCTACACTCAGGCTGCAGTATTTTCAGCAAACTCAATTAGACAGTGGACCTGTGCCTTATCTTTTGGTGGAATGAAAAATTGGAGCCTGTGAAGCCAGATCCTTACGGCAAGCAGCACGCACCGTGCCTGGCTCCTGGATGATTGCAAACCCGCATCTAAAATGTGAATTTGAAATCAGATGTCTCTGTTACTTCCAGCTAAAGTGGCATCACAGCTGTTTCCTAAGTTTAAAAATTCTTGGATTAAAAAATTCCCCACTTGTGTCTACCACTTCTACCATGAAGTCTTGATAAGGAAGCTCCACCTTGCCTCCATCTGCCCATCTTCTGCATGTGCGTGCCCTCTTGCTTAGCAATTCAAGCATAAAGCCTTGGACTACTTAAATCACAGTTTAAGAAAAGAAAGAAAAGAGCCGGGTGTGGTGGCACACGCCTGCAATGCCAGCACTCAGGGAGGCTGAGGCAGAATTGCCATGAGTTCGAGGCCAGCTTGGGCTACCTAGTGAGACTCTGTGTCAGACAACTGAAAAAAAAAAAAAGATATTTTTCCAGTCTCTTGGCCATCCTGTTGTCTCAAGATGGTTTTAAAAACCATCTTGGGCTGAGGGTGTAACCCAGAGGTAGAGTGCTCGCACCTCATGCACAAAGCCCTGGGTTTCATCCCAGCACCACACAAACAAAACAGCAGGTGGTAAACTGGAAGCAGTGGGAAACCCTCACAACACGTAGTTAACAGCTTTGGATCTCTTTCTCAGCAGGTACCAGTTGTAAATAAGATTGAAGTAGGGGCCAAAATGCAAAACCAAAAATGAAGCAGCTTTGTGTAGTTAGCAATTTTAGTTTGAACTGTAACTGAGTATTGTGGCTTCATCTGTATTATTTTATATTGTACTTTTTTTCTCTGTTGATGGCTTGAACTTTGATAAAAGAAATCCACTAGTTTTTAATGCAACAGAAATAAGACTATTTGGACAGTGTATTCTAGAAAGCAGCATACTAACTAATGCAGTCAGTGCTCATGTATATTAAAATAACTTTTCTCTGATGTCTTCACTGTCAAATAATTAAAAGTTTCAAAAGCATAGGACTGTAGTCAGCATGCTAGACTGAGGGGTTGGACGCTGACCCAGGAGAGCAGGTCCTGACGCCATCAGTGTTTAGCACTGTTTAGCTATGTTTATGCTACAAACGTGCAATATTAGACACTAGCTAGCTAGTACAGCTGCCTTGTGTGACTCCACAAAGGAAGGCGGGATTTGATTCAGGGCACATTCTTCTTCATTACTCACATTGTCCTTAGCTTGGATCCAATGCCATGCAGATTCTTGTGGCTGCTATTTTTACTTCGCATAACTTCGATGAACACCTTGAATTGAGAGCCAGATTTGACCCTCTTCACCTGACCAGCAGGGACCCTTGTACTGCAACTGGGAAAACCAAAAGTCTGTGGGAGAATTGGTGAGAACCGGCACGTAAGATCGGAAAGAAAATTCTTGGTACTTCATGCCTTAAGATGCTGTCTGCACGCGCTCTGAAAGACTGCTAGGCAGTAATACTGCAATACAACTGAGTTTTGTAGAATTGTTACATTTGATAATAAAACTTTCCTGCTTAATCTCAATGCTTGCAGTCTTTATTTTTTGAAGAATTATGGTGGAAGGGTGTGGGTAAGCTGTCTCTTAGATTTTTCAAGTTTACCATTAGTAATTATAAAGCTATCCATGCCGAGTGTAATCTCAGCTACTAAGTAAACTGAAGGATCAAGACCAGCCTGGAGGGGGCTGGCTGGTTAGCTCAGTTGTTTAAAGTGCTCGCTTGGGCAAACTCAGGCATGGGGGACCACGCTTTGATCCCCAGCTCCATGTGCCACGTCAGACCCACCCTTATGGCAGCCTGAGCCAGCCAAAAAATAAAGACCTGGCTTGGGGAATATAACAATGCCCTGTCTCAAAAACTTGGGTGTAGCTCAGCACACCCTGGTTTCCACATCCACTGCAAACATAAAAGGAAAACTGTTCTTGATAAATGCACTCAAGACACTGGCCAAACAAAAGTCAGTGAAACTTTATTCTTGCGTGCTTTGCTGGGCTTGAACCCAGGGCCTCCTGCATGCTAGGCAGTGGCTCTCCCAAAGCTGTGGTGTTTGGTCATTAAGTCTTACTGATGAATCTCGGTATGCTTAACAATGTTTTTTTTTTTGCTGGGTGTGATGGCACACACCTGTAATCCTAGCACTCAGGAGGCTGAGTCAGGAGGATCATTGCAAGTTCAAGACCAGCCTGGGCTACAAAGTGAGCTTTAGCTGCACAGTGAGACCCCATTTTAAAACAACAAAAACATTTTTTGTTCTTTTGGGGCCTGGAGAATTAAACCTGGCCTTTCACTTGCCCAGCAAGTGCTCCACCACTGAGCTGCATCCTAGTGTGTATGACAATTCGCAAACCCCAGCTAGTAAGAGCTAGAACGTCAAGTGCTTCTGATGGCCACAGCTCCTTTTTCTCGGCTGATGCTGAGTCCTCAGATGTCCTCTTCAAAGTCCATTGTCGTCTCAGGGCTCAGGCCAAGTATTGCCAGCCTGTGGCATTTCAGAGCAGTGTGTATCAGCACTCTCACTTATTTGGCCTCTTGTTACACAGCCCACGTATATAGCAATTCTTAGCATATAAGCCCAGGGGCAGGAACTGTCCTAGTATCTCCCCCAGGGCCTAACACTTGCCTGTTTCATGTTCATACAGTGTGTGTTTGTTCCACATGCAGAGAATGAAGTGTAGCTCATTCAGGAAATGTTTTTAGTCCTAGTCTTCACATCATTTATAAATGTGACATCCAGTTTGGTCCTGTCCCTCAGCTTCGGTTTTCTCCCCTCACAGGTGGCGAGGAAGAGGCAGCAGAGCTCCAGGTAAGTTCCTCCTTGCCTGGAAGCCACCAGGCATCCCTGTAGTCCTGCCTTCTGTGGAATCCAAGCAGCTGGACTCTCAGGAGGGAAAGACAGCAAGGAGGGTGTGGAGTCGAGGAAGGGTAATGGCAAAGGAAAGGAGAAGGAGAATGAAGAGGCCCAGAATGTGCAGAGACTGAGCCGTTCCATCCTCATCCCAGATTTTGTGACTTCGTAGATTTTGAGATACAGTGAATCTGTGTTGAAGGTATCAGTATGCAAGTATGTGCACTCCCAGAAGTAAATGAATGCGACTTTTTTTTTTCATTTTTGAGATAGGGTCTCTCTCATGTACTTCTGGCTGGTGGCCAGGCCAGCCTCAATCACATTCACAAGAACCTTCCCGCCTCAGCCTCTCAGGGCCTGAGATTACAGCCCTGCACTACATCACCCAGCTGGGACTTTCTTCTAAGCATTCTGTGATTTTGCAGGGAAGATATAGCTCAGGGGATCAGCACTTGCCCAGCATGCACGACTAAGTTTGATTGGCAGCATCAAAAATAAAGAATTCTGTGTTTGCTTTGGCAGCACATAGATTAAAAACAAAGAATTTTCTTTTTTTTTTTTTTTTTTTTTT